CCCAGGGAAGTGGTGGAGTCACCATCCCTGGAGGTCTTTAAAAGACGTTTAGATGTAGAGCTTAGGGATATGGTTTAGTGGGGACTGTTAGTGTTAGGTCAGAGGTTGGACTCGATCTTGAGGTCTCTTCCAACCTAGAAATTCTGTGATTCTGTGATTCTGTGATTTTCATATAGCTCTGCCTGTAGCACAGCCCCAGCAGGACCAACCACTGCCACTGGCTTGTGCCAACCAAAGCTCAGTAGCCGTAAGAAAATGTGACTCTCAGAAAGCAGCAGCTGATTATACTGTTCCGAGTTAGGAGAACAGAACAGCAATGTCTTGCAGCAACACCAAAGTAGGCATCTCACAGATTTCTTGCCCACAGCTCTGTGAGTCTCCAGAGTCAGGAGACAAGCTTATACACTGCACAGTAAGGCCCACAGGTGACAGTGGATGCATAAATCATTGTTTTTTTGGAAGAAGTGGTTGCCAAAGAGGCTGAGTTATTACTGCACATAGATGTGAAGTCTGTCCTGCTACTGCAGCTGGCTCTAGTTCTAGAAGGAGGGAGTGTAACAAAAGGCTTCAGGGAGAATGTGTACCAAGTCACCGGTGGGATGGGTTCCCACAGCTGGTAAGAGGAAGAACACGAACAAAGTCGGTTTCCAAAGGGAACTACTTGGCACAATCTCAGTGTGACCCAAAAACATGCATTTCTTGTAAGAAGAAAAAGGTTTGGCTACAGTAATACTTCAAGCACCAAAAAAAAATGTCTTGCTACAGCTCTTCCCACTATCTGCAAATCTGCAAATGCTCTTCCCACTCTCCCTCTCTCTCCTCGGTATTTCCTTTTTTTTTTTTTTTTTTTTTTTTCTCTTCTGTTTTCCCTTTCTCCTTCTCTCTCTCCTTTTTTTTATTATTCTGAATCAGGTTAAAGGACTACTCCCACACTTTCTTATCCTCTGTCACAGAAATCTCCGGAGAGCTGGCCTTCATTTCATAATGCAGCAGTCACTGACCAAAAGTGATGCTATTCCTACCTTTTGAGATAAACCACAAGCTGCAGAAGTGATCTACTAAATATTCTCTCAGAGATGCCTTAAATCTTTGCTGCTAATTGCAGCTCTGTACGAGAAATAACTTTCACAGGAAATCTCTGTGTTGGAAACAAATGGGAAGTATGGGACTCTTAAGATTAGAGAGTAAAGGTTATCTTTGTGTTTAGCTAGTCATTTGCTGCTCCCAGCAGTTTGGAAAGATAAAGCTATGTAACAGCTAAGTTTTATTAAAGGGGATAAAACAATTCCATCTTTATTATCCTACTGTTTAATATCAAACCTGCCTAAGCAAAGTGAGTATGAAAAACTTGTCTTTGATTTATGCAGGGACAGATCGAGTCTATGCAAACCTTTGCTATCAGTATTGGTGAGAAAAGCATTGAACTCTCTACCATATGACCTCTGCTCTCACAAAGCCATTCCTGAAGAAGATGAATAGAGCAGAGGACATGACTTTAGTGACATTATCATTAGGAAGATTGATACTTTACCACTATGACTCATCCTTTCCCCATAATTTCATTCCTAAAAGCCAATTAATGTTGTTTAAAAGAGGTGCCTTAATGCTTGCTCTTGCAAACAAACCTAATTAACACAAATTTTTCTTTTGAAATGAATGGGACACTGAACAATCTACATCCACAAAATTTTAACAAAATTCCCGTCTATACATTTTGTGACCTTCCAAATCTCATATTTGTGCTGAATCAGTTTAGCAGAATGAATCTACAGATTTTGAAATCTAAAATAATCCAAAATTAGCTAGATAATAAAGAACCTATGATATTCCATGAGCAGAAGAGGATCTCCATTTATGAGTTGTACTGTTTTTGTATGACTCATTCATCACACAAAACCTGAGGTATAGATGGCTTATGAAGCGCAAGAGAAGATGTACAGATCCCAACCTAGAAAAGAGAAAAGATATAGACTTGCTTTTGGCATTAACAGTCTTTCCCTCTCCAGTGCTTTTATGGACTGTGATCCTACTGACATTGATTTTGCTGACAAGAGCTTGGAATCCCTACAAAGCACATCTTTTGGCACTGATCTCACAGCTTGCAAGAAGACATATGAAGATATAAAAGGCTGTGTTCTTTGTTTCCAGGTGAAATCACAGTTCTGATTGGGGTATCCCAGAAGTTCTGATTGGGGTATCCTAGAATTCTTATAATATTTACTCAGTTTTCCACTACTTTGAAACAGTGGAACTAAAACCAAAAATTGTCCAGTGAAAGTGTGAGTCTACTGCTCTCTAAAAAAATAAAAATGAAATTTAAATTAAAAAAACACCAGGATAAACTGTTTTAAACAAAAATATGTTTTATTTTTGGTAGAAGGATTCTTCTAATATATGTTTATCAAGGTCTGTAGAACTGAGAAACAAAAAAACTAAGTAGGAAGAAAAAGTGGCACAGAAATACCAGGTGTCATTGCAGAAGTGCTAGCCCCAGCGATGAGACAAATGTTAGTTGAAGGCTCTACTGAAAGGAAAAGAGAATTACAAGTAGTGACAGAGATTCCAGCTCCTGGAGCTGAATATACTTAGGGAAACCATCTTACTAGGTTCTCTGCAAGTAAACTAGACTGCATCACAAATAGTCTCAGCCTGACACTGCTTTCTTCCCTTGATGGAAATCATCTACAACAGCCTGCATTTTGTCAGTTGCCTAAATGAAAGGGGGAACAAGAGAGTCAATGAGGTTTGGAAGGCTCATATAAGACTATCCAAAATGATAGGATACATGTATCATAGAAATATCCTAGATCCCCTATCCAAGGTACAAAGTATAACTGCTGAATACTGTTGCTCAATGTGCAAACTGATGTTTCAATTTTATGTGAAATAATTTCCACAGGTGATTTCTATATTGGAAGCTAATGGAAAGTATGAGAATGTAATGCTTAAGGGGACAAGGTGCAGGATTATTTTGAGGACAATGGACAGGGCTTTGGAAACTCAATGGCTCCCCAGTTTTGGCATAAAGTATTGCTGTGGTGTTGGTACTAACACAATAGATACACTCAGTGTAAAGACAAGGAGCTTAATTTTAAAGGTGATGGGCACCCACCATTCTTATTTTTATTTGTTGGAAATGCAAGCACAACAAGCCAATAGCTCTGAGTTGAGATACTTACTCCCTCTGAAATAATGTGGAAAGTTTGCACAAAGGAAACTGAGTGACAAGAAACAGCTGGGAATACAGGAGGGGCAAATACATCCAACTGTCCTTCTCACCAGCTTCTGGATAGAAGCATGTTCATGCTCAGTTAAGGGAAGTATGCTTTTAAATAATTTATAGAACATAACTCCAAGTTCTATTGCAGAAACTGTGCAGACATGAATGTGCCTCTGGAAATGTCAGTGCAGAATAAGGACTAAAATCCTTTAAAAGAGTGAGATGAGATGCTTTAGTTAGTTAAAACTTTTAAACAAATATCATTATTCTTTATGTCTTCTGTTTGACAGTTTTTAACAACTCTTTACCATTGACTTCTCTTGAGAAGCATAGCTGGACCATCACAGACTTGGGCTTTCAGCAACCAGTGATTCCCATATGCTTTCCATTGGAGTCAAGAAAAGAATTACACTGGTGGTTTTCATAAATGAGGGGTCAGAATAAGATAGGAAGTTTTGAATCATTTTAGACTTAATGACACAGACAGATGCCAGCTTGAATGTCTGAAAAGCCACATGCAGAGATATGCAATAATTTCAGCTGTGACCTTATAAAGATGCTCATACCATACGTGAAGTTTATTAGCAAGATGGCTATGGTCAAAGTTTTTTTTTAAATGATGTTTATGCTGTTTCTTTGTATTTTGTAAAAATCAACTCACACAGAAATCACTATGAGGACGTGAAAAGGACTGAAACTGTGAAGGGATGAATACCTTTTTCTAGGTCCAAAACCTTAAGTTGTTCAAAGTTCATTTCTTTGAGACATGATGCCTGCACCAGCAGATCTAACAGAAAGGGAGCCTCCCAATGAATCGTGAGTATATTCATAAGCTTCCGAATGGTTCCAGTAAAAAGTCCTTGTACAGAAAGTTCCAGTTCACTTCTTGTTTACTTGGTTAGCTGCTGTAGAAGAGTCACATAGGATTTCCCTAACAAATCACATGTTCTCATATTGCAGCATCCTTGAGCCAAATGCATAGAAAACCTTGGGTAACCTTTTCTTCCTCAATATACACAGTAAGAAATAATCTGTTTTCAATATTTTTGGCTCCCGTATTACATAGATAGTAGCCAAATAATGACCTATGTCAGCATATTTTCTCCTCTACTCTAAACAGCATCTGTGTCGTTTTTTGTCTGCCTTATCCTTAATAAACAGTACTTTTACCTTTATAAGCAAGACTGCTATGCATGTAGTAACATTACTCAAATGCAGATTTACAGTTCTGAATATTAACTTGCAGGAAATTACTTTGTGCCAGATGCTGTGAGCTATTTTCATATGCCTATTGAGATAAACAAACCTGAGGCTAGGAGAGGCTTTGAACCTTTTTATTTTTATTTTTATTTTTTGAAAGCCTGGTTTCCAATATCTGCTGCTTTCTTAGATGTTTCAAAGTCAGACATTGCCTCGCCCTTGAGCTTTTGGCTCTTGTAACCGAGTCTCTGAGCTCCAAGCGGAGGGAATTGCCTTAGGTCAGTGTTCTCATTGCAAAAGATGCCTAAAGATAGCCAATGCAAAATAAGAATGTCATAGATATGTCTGGATTCCTATTAAAATAGGGAAAGATAATGAGAATGGCATTCAAATGTGTTAAATTGGATATTTGCCAAGAGAAGGGGAGATCTGAATTCTAGCCCCTGCTCTAAGGACTGTTTATGCACTGAATCCAGTTACTGTCTTACATAAATAGCCCTTTAAGCAGGACCAGAACCCAGGTTTCCATTAGTCCATGAAAGTGCCTCAATTACTGCATTAAGGATTCAGGCTCTTACTCTTTTTTTTTTTTTTTTCCTGCTAGATGAGACTTGAATTCTTTCTTTACTCGTTCTTCACAGAAAGGGTGAAAAACCCACTATTGTCCTGTTACACTGTTTACAGAATCACCTGCCTGGTGTATGCAGTTTCCGTGAGCAAAACGCATAGGAAACTCTGGGGAACTATTTCTAGTTCAACACACACAAGAGAAAGATGAAGTTATAAGTGCTCTTAAAAGATACACCCATGGCATTGAAAATATACTGAAAAAGTTCTGAATATTCCCATGAAAAAATGCTGAAAAGTTCCAGTTCTTGCTTAGTTGATGAGGAAAGAGTACACAAATTTTCCACTAATGAAGTAACAACTGTGAAAGATTTTCACACTCCTTGTGAAGAAACAGGATAGCGCACTTACAGCTCAAGCAAATAGGTGAGAATTTCATTTGATGTTTTAGGGAACCAGATAGTTTTATGACACTTTATTAATTTTCATTGCTGTAATCATCCCAAACTTCTGTTCTTATGATCCCATGTTTAGCAAAACCTTCTTAAAATAAATATTATTTATTTATTTATTTTAGGGGAGTAGTATGCTAGGTTTCTTGTTTTCTTAATTTTACACAAAGTAGTGCAGAAAATATGTTGGGATGGGGGGGGGGGGGGGGGGGAGGGGCATGATAGCTTTCTCACCATTGTGCTTCCACAGAAGGCAATAAATACCTTTGAACAGATATCACATTGATACTGATAGAATACATCTTTAAGAATAGCAGCAGTTCTCTTCAGGATTAAGTGTTACTACTAAAGGACTTATTCAAATCCCTTTCACGGAAAAGCTCCCTTTGAATTCAGTGAGCTTTGGATAAGCTGCTTGCATTTTGATGCCAGAAATTTTTGTTTACTGACATGGATTCATTCATTTTAATAAGTACCTGCAATGTTGGTATTATATATTCTCATTAGGTGAGAAAATTTGCACAAATTTTAGTGATTTATTCAAGATAACAGTCTAGATGATGTCTCACAGATGCTCAACCTTTGTTGTGATTACAGCACTGAAGGGTTAATGCTTTCAGTATATTTCTCATTTCTGCAAAGCACAGACTTTGTAAAAGCACAGCATTTTGTTTAAAGGTTGTGTTTAGTTCCTCTAAACCAACAGAAATTAAAGGTTTTGGAAACCATGTCAAGCTCACTGTATAGACTGTGCACAAACGTTGTGGTTACTTTTGCCTACCCAGTGACTCACCCCTGGTTGTTTTGGTATTCTTAAAATATAGATTTAGCTTCAAATTCAGGTCAGCTTGTTTGGTCTCATTTGCTGTACTCTGTCTTCAAATCTGGAAGATATTTGTAAAATAATTTCTGTTCTCTGTGCCACGGACTTCCCAGAAATCCCTAGTATATTTTTTATTTCTATTTTCAATTGTAGATAGAAGACAAACTACTAGTTAAAAATAATTCTGTTATACAATCACTTAGAGGAAAGAAAAACCCTACTGTAGATTTCTAAGTCCAGAGGTAATGCTTTCTTCATGGTCCTACAAAAATACATCATCAACTGTGGTTAACAGCACCTGAGTGGACAGCTTACATATGCCTGCATTAGATACATCAAGAAGAACACTCAAGCATGAACATCCAAAACTTAAACGTGATCTTCAAGGGAAAACAAACAAAACCACAAAACAAACAAACAAACAAACAACAACAGCAAAACAACAGCTGTTTGACATGATTTAGGAATGTGTCTTTGTTGCCTTTTTGTATTAGGATTACTACAATTTCCAATGTGCACTTCTGTAATAGCTCAAATTGCTACAAAGGTATTATTCAGCTCCAGGGACAATGTTTTAAATAAAGTAGACTGAAGGAATTCACTGCAGTGTATTTCAGGGCAGCAATATGTGCATTTGCAAATACTTAGACAATAAGATGTAGTCTCCAGAAAATAAGTGGGAAAGATATTTTGTTCATAATAGCAATTAAGTCTCTCCTGAAATCCAAGCCTGCTTGATAATTCTGGGCAGATTAGCTCCTTGTGCAGCTTCTGCAGCATGTTTCAAATGAGCAATAAACTATTTTTTTTTTCTTAATACTTCCAATATTGTGGCCAGAGCAGCGGTACACTGCATTATGAGCACCTAAAATCCATCTCACATTCACCTCAAACACACTTGTATCATCAACAGCTGAACTTTCCCCACATCTTTTTGGACTCAAGGAATTTATTTACACTTACGTTCAAACCAAAGTAGAACTTCTTAGAATATGAGACTCAATTTCTGTTTATTTTAAGATCTAGATGAATAAACTCAAGAGCAATGTAAATGGTGATATGGCTTACAATTTGGCTTGCTCACCATTTGGCAGACCATAATCGCAATGTACTTGCCTGTTATAGGGCTGGTTTTGATTGCATGTGGCTATGCCTGCAGAGCATGAGTCTCTGCTGGTGGTCCATTTAATTCCCACATACTTGCTTCCTTCCTTCTTTAATGGTTTTAAAGATCATAATTATTCATGGATTCTTTCAATTTGCCCCAAACTCCTTTTATGGCGTATTTTTGCATAGATGATCATGTGTATTAAAAACACCATTTCAATTTACTGTTTCTATTTCACTTGTTTTTGATTGCCCAGCATCAAACAGCAGTGAAAGAACTTGTCTTTCTTTTGCAGTCACTAAATCCACTAATAACATCAGAAGGACTTCTGACAATCATCTAATTTCAGTCCCTCTTGCAAATTTTATAATTGTACCATGACTCCCAGGACACCTTAAGGAGACAAGAAGGAGTCAATCTTTCTGTCTACTCCCACTCTTATTTTCCAGAAACCACATTGCTATTCATTTGTTATCTCCTTTGTGTAACGGATGGGTGTATAAAATGTCACAAACAGGAATTAATAAACTGTACTGTGCAGGAAGTTTTGTGATCCTTTTTAAAATCTATTCCAACACTTTATAAAAAATGCTGGAGAAACTATTTTCAATCCAACAAAGTCATTTTAAATAGTCTTTAAGCTATCTTATCCCATGATCCCACAAAGTCTTTTCCATCATCTCTGATTTCAGTAATTCAGTTCTAACATTTCCAACCTTTTTCCTTGTTGTTTCCAAGAATTCCAACTACCTCTTAAACCTCTTAAACTTTTCTCTTCTAGAAGCAGCGAAGCTATCTGTACTAAGAAAGTCATTAAAGAACTCCTTCCGTCTGTCCAGAACTGCATTCTTGCATTGTCCTTTTTCACACTCTGAATTGATCTTCTTTTCTCCATGTGTGTTGTAGCTCTCATAAATTACTCCTATGTTATATGCATTTTACTCTGCATAGTCCTACTGGACCTAAGTACTTCAGGTCCTTTTTTGGTTTTATCACACTTAGCATGAGACCAGCTTGGAAGTTGCATTCTCACTTTGCATGTCAGTTTCCAATTACTTTCCCATGCGCTGTTAAACAATCCTTTGTTTCTCATACTTGGAATTCTTCTGAATTATCTTCTTTGATTCAGTCTGCCATGATTTCTTCTGAAGTCTATTTTTAACTGCTACCTTTTCCTGCCTGTTTTTCATATACCTCCGGCATGTTGTGTTTTATCTATAACTGGTCTACTGAATTTTCTTATCACGTTTGTGTGTCATTCCATGATCGATTCTTAGGCTTCCAGTTTTTGCCCTGAGACAAAATATATAATTTGATTACTAGAAACCTCCTCTGTAGATAGACATATACGCCTAATAACATTTTAAAGAAAGTTTCCATGCTATTCAACTGTGTCCTTAACTGCTACAAAATTAATTAATCTCATGTCATCGTTAATAGTTATGTCATAGACATAGACATCCCTTCCACTGTCTTCCACATCTTCCTTTTCTACTTTGCCACTACAGCCATCTACCACTACTTTGATATCACACCTTGCAAAATTCTTGAAGACTATATCACAATCAGCACAGCATTTATCTTTTATGATGTTAGATATTCCTTTGCTGGGAGCACATACATTCATTCCTAATATACTAGTTGTCCCAATAGGTTGACATATAGCCAGTTTGCTCATTGTTAGCTTCAAAGACAGTAAGCCTCATCCTTGACGTTCTTGCAGCCTTCTTGCTACTAAAAGAACCAGTGACACTTCTTCCTAAGAAGCAAAAATAGCTTTGGGCATCTTTCCATCCATTTGACTTGGCCTTTCAGACCACCTGGGACTGATACGTCTCTTTCCATGGCCATGATACCACTCACCATAGGGTTTGTTTCCATTAAACCATTTGTTGATTGTCTTCTTTGAGTAAACGAGCAAGGATTTCATAAACTTATTTAGCAAGGCTATCTTGTGCATGTCATCCTGTATTTGATCCACTATACTTTGGAGTACTCTTGGCCTGGGTGACAACATTACTTGTTTGTTCAGTGAGGCTTACCATGCAGCAAAGAATATTTCTTGGAGCAAGGAGTAAGTCTAAGCTTCAAAACACCTCCAGAACAAAGTCCCCAACTCTCTTGGAATTTGACTACCTGCGCCTTTGCACTCTTGAAAATTCCAGCCCAGATGCAGCACTGAATGCAGTTGTCAGATACTTGAGACGTCTCACAGAAGATGCATTTGGTGCTCTTTTCTGTCAGCACTTATTATGTCAGAATAAGAAAGAGAGATATTGTCTTTTAAAGCAGATGCTATTCCAAGATTTCTTTTTCTTAATAAAATCAATTGAAATTGTTTAGGCAACAGACAGCATGCTCTCATCAATGTCGCGTCTCGAAGTCTGTGAGAATTCCTGTAAAGCAAAAAAACAAAAACAACAAAACCACCACCACCAAAAAACCTATGCATTATTTTAAGTGAAATGAGCATGAATGCTCTATGTATCTGTCCGTGTCTGCCTATGCATGTCTCAGGGTGGTATTGCTGCTATAGGTCTAATTTAACCCTTATGAGGAAACAGTGACTTGGAATTTCTCTTCAGAATGTTGCTTTCTCCAGTTCCATTGTTTGTAATCTCAGGGCATGGCATCAAGTTCATGCTTTCCTGCTGTCAAGATGCCAGCTTTGCATCTACAAAGTAGGAAATAGAGCACTGTGAAGAAAAAGAAGGCCTTATTTAAGGTACTGATTGAGCAAATTATATGAGCAAATTTTAAACTGAATTTCTATTCAGTCTCTTTGTTGAACAAAGATGGATTTGATAAAAGAGTTAAAACAGGTCCATTCTGAAATGCTCTGTTGCATCATTATCTCAAAACTGCTAACAGGTTAGTGGGATATGGAAGATTCTACAAAGTCTTCCTATGGAGCCCTGGATCAAGTTATACTCCAAAATTGCACACAAAGAGCATCTCAAAGAATTTATTTCCTAGGGCTGAGTGGGAAAGAACAGTCCAGTGTTTCCTCAGCTCTATCCCAAGGCTGCCCAACAGTGCAGAGTTTAGTATGACTCTTACAGGTAAAAGTAAACAGAGATGAGGAAAACAGGCCAGCATTAGGAAGAGGGCAGCAGAAGGAAGAGGATTTATCTGGAAAGACCTTTACCTTGTGTGCCAACATCATGAAGTAGCCAGGGAATATGCTCTGCTAGCATTGTGCACTACAAAAGCTCTCAGATTATAAAGGAGAGACACTAGTGAAAATGAAGAAAATTCTGAAATGGATAAGTACTTGGGACTCTTCCTATGCCATTTTAATAGATGCAATTCTAATGGATTCTTATTGTAAATTATTATACATTAATACCACCACAAGATACTTGAATACAAATCTGCCCCCTATATACAAATCATTTCAGCAAGACAACAGATTAGTAGGGAGAAAAAGATCTTGTAGAGAGAAAGGTGTTAGCATGGAAATTACATGGGCTGGTCTCAGTTTTAATGTTTCCACAGCTGTAAATCTTTGGGAACATCACTGAGGGTGAATACTACAACACTCAGCATTGATAATGTGTGAGTCTTTCTTCACCTAGAGAGAAATAACAGGCTTTGCCTAAACACCCAAGTGCTTCACACAACATCTTTTGTCTATGTCAGACCAAACAACAGGCATCCTAGAAGCCAGCACACTGATCCAGGAGGGCTTAGAGCTGACCGAGAGGAAATGACAGGAGGATGTGTATTTACCGGGTTTGTCATAGCCCCCCTGACCCTGACACCAGTACCACTTACTGGGAAACATGTTTTGTGTCACATGCAAGGGGGTCTGTGTATGTGTACCTCCTGTTTCTGCTTATCAATATCTTCTCTGGACACATTTGTGGCCAGATCATCTGTTCTCATGAAAAACCTTGGTAACTTAATAACTTGTTAATCAAAGTACCAAGACTGTGACCTAGGACCTCCTCTGGTTTGAACAGATTTTTCTATGTGTGCTCTATTGTCAAGTGGGGTAATATTTTTATTTATATATTTTTTTCTGTTTCTCCTGTAGAAGTTAACCCTCTCCATATGAATTACTGAAATAGTCTTTGGGCAAGAAAAAGAAAACTGCTTCCTACAATCCTAGAATCACTTACATTGGAAAAGACCTCCAAGATCACCAAGTCTAACCTAACACTGCCAAGTCTAACACTAAATCTTGTCCCTAAGCACCACACCTACATGTTTTTTAGATATTTCCAGGGCTGGTGACTTCCTTGGGCATCCTCCTTCTGTCTATTGATTCTGAAGACAGCATTTAGGAGCACAGGGATTACTATCCCTGCTTCAAGCAGTATTTCTGTGTTTTAAGAGAAGAAGAAAAACTTGAACAGAAAAGTTTGAAACATATCTATGTGGAACATGTCAGAACGCAGTGACTGGAGTGTTCAGCTAGGAGATGACAGGATCCAGTTTAAATTCTTTCCTCTTTAATTAATTTGGAGTAAGGAGTTAAACACTGCTCCTCCATATACATGGACCACCTATTTCTGTCTGAGTTCTGAGTTGAAGCCTAGTGCAGAAGTCTAATGCCTCTAATGGCAGAAACATCAGAAGCCAAAAGTTTATAGGCACAAGTCAGACATTGAAAGATTTTAAGCAGCTTTACAGCTACACGGTAAGTGACTCTGTTGTAGAAGTTCTTATTGTTAACATGGTATGTTGCCAATGTTGCCACATGATATGTGGGCACCAGCATATAGGTGCTTAATTGTCCTTAGGGTCTGTGCTCACACCTTTTCCCTCCCCATTCCCTCCCTGGTAAGAATCACAGTACTTCTTCATTGCCACAATCAGATGATCTTTCCTATTTAGAGTGAAAAATGTTCCTGGCAAGAATAGTCTGCTTGGTGGATTCAGACCAAGGTGTTGCTGAATGCAAAATAATCGTAAGGAATGAACAACACTCATTGCTTTACGTGGCAGTTCTGGGCAGGCAGTCCTGAGATACTCTTTAATAATGAAATGACAGCTTGTGTAACTATGCTGAAATTGTTTTGTCATGTACAATATAAATAAGCCATATTTAGTATTGAGGTTGTAAATATCCTTGTTGCATACTTTTTGGTCCAAAAGTTTAAAGGCAAGATTTTTGAGTGGAACTAATCTTGGTACATGCCCAAAATGCTTATCTGTTCTTTCCAGGCTGAAACAAAATGAGACACTGCTTTCTCCTACTATCCTTGCCTCATTTAGTGCAGAAATTCTAGCACAACTAATAATGAAGAATTACAGTATAACTAACTACATTATAGTTTTTATAACTACATAAAAGTAATCAGTAGTAAATTTCTGAGCTTTCTTTACCTCCCAAACGTCCTGTGGTAAGTAGGGTGTACTGAAGTGTCTTCTCTACTTTTGAAAGTCGTTATTCCCAAATAGGATTAGCTGATTAAACAAACTCAGGAAATGGGATTATTCACTGTCCATGTCATATAAATAAAAATAAAAGCTTTGGTTTCTTTAGCACTTTTCACAAGCACTAAATAAGGAAAACAAAAAACAAAAAGCATGTCTGTGCAAATCCTCTCCAATTCCAATTCAAGTATACTATTGTTGAATATAGTTAGCATTTGGCAGAATAAACAGGTAGATGCAATGTGATTATCACCTTCCTAAATTGCTGTTTAGAGTTATGTTTACTGTGTGCATACTTCTAATTGTTGTACACACCAAAACAACATTTACATACTTTTAGAAAAGCTCACTAACAGCTGCTGGTGAGCACAAATGTATTCATGATTAGTTATGCTTTAGAAACGTCTTGGATTAAGTGAATCTACTTTATTAAGCACCTTTGTATCTAAGGGCCAAAAATGTTTGTAGGCAATTGCAATTTTATAAGCCATCTGTATTTTGCACTGGTAAAGAAACCTCGTCAAAGAGACCACTTTTTAAAGGTATAAAAGATAATGTAAACCCCAAATGTCATTTGAGAAGTCTTAATTGCTTCAAAATAGAGCAATTATGCACACTGGTGAATTGAACATAAAGGAGCTACAGATTATATTTGTACGTTGTTTGGCTCAAAGAAAATAATTATTGATAGGGACAGTAGATGAGATTGATGAGTCTGGAGTTGTAGCCACTAAACAGGATATGCATTCACCCGGAGTTCATGTTTTCTAGAGAACATCTCTGAAATAACTAAGGAAAAAGAGAAATAGGAAGAAAAGGAAGCTCAGTCAGTCACAACAAGATTGTTTTGTAAAAGGAGAAAACAGGATTAACTATAATGAGATTATCAACTAATTCTGTGAGGCAACACCCATAAAGATCAACAGACAAAGGGGAGGGAGCTGGACTCTGCAGTGTTTTTAACAGCAACAATGTATCAGTGACAAGATTGAGGTTTTTTTTCCCTATAATGTTGAATACTGCTGTAGTTGTAGGACTGAACTATAATCTCTGATAGCAAGAGTAGTTTCTGTCCAGCATATAAATGGTGTTGAAGCTCAATGCTGAGTTTATAAGCCAAAATTTCTATAAAAAGTAGCCAGAATCACTTTTTTGTTCGTTTGTTTTGTTCTGTTTTTGTTAGTGGAGCAATGTGTTCAAGTAAGAGAGCAAGACAAAATTTTCCTGCATTGTTCCTTTCTACAAGGCACCATTCTGCTTTCTGCTTATTTCTCTGGAAGCTTACTATTAAATCTACACATGCAGCAAGACATCAAAACCTAGGCGAACATGCGGTGTCTGTCTGTTATCATAGGAAGGGCTCCATAATTAGAAGAGTATAATCCATCATGGTAGACTCTCCTCTTTATTAGTGAGAGTCTACTTATATCAGGGTCAAACGTGTGTTGATATTTGGAGAAATAACTTGTCCCACCATCATTCCTGCTACCAACAGTCTGTTCCCTGGCTTTCCTCTTCCTGTGTTGTTTCTGGTGGACTCAGAGCTCATCATATTCCCTGTGCTATTTAAAGAACTTCTTGGGCTGGTATTTTATTTTAAGGCTTCTACTGTATTCTTTAAAATACCAACAGGAAACATTTATCCTCCACAAACCTTAGTAACTTTTCTGTTCTCAGTTCCTACACAGAGACCAGAATTGCCATATTAGGTATATAAAAAAGAATTAGCTTTAAAAACAGAGGCCCAAGTAACATTTACCTCTTCTGCCCACTCTTCAAAGAGACTTTCTGTATTAGGGAACCCTGCCACAACTGACTGGGAAGGTCTTGGAATACATCTTCGGATGTGGCATGTGTATCATGCTGAAGAGCTCCTGCTGTTGCAAAGGCTGCAGATGTGATCCAGGAGAACAAAACCTGCAACTGCTGAGAGCAGATGAATGTAAAAGCAGAGTTGTGTCAGCCTGCAGAGTTACTTCAGCCATATACAACTCCATCTCTTAGGGATCACCAAGACCTTCTTTTAACTACCTAAGATGTTCTACAACATTTACTCTACTTCTGATAATAAGATTGTCATGCCCTCTTAGTGTCATGCCCTAAATTATTTTCACAGGAACTCTCTTCTCCTGCTGAGTCTAAACAAGTGCAATATCAGCTTATTTGAAAATGTATCCTATTTTTCCTATCAAATAGGCAGAATTATGGCCTACTATTTATCTGGTGAATTTGCAAGGAAGGAAGTCTGGAAAGAATCTAAGGTCACTCATGAAAAACATCAGGACTCATTACTGCTATGTGTCCTGGATCATGGGCTACCTCTTTTGAGGAAGGACTTCTCTCAAGCATGACACAGTAGGGGAAGCTAGGCCAGGTGTTTACCAAACGTGCTGTGTTACAAACACCTCACACATGAAATAAAATCTAATGATCTTGACTCTTACTCATCCTTGCTATTAATTTTTTCTCCTTTGCTTTTTTAACCTTCTGTGTCTATGGCACTTAAAGTAACAAGTAAACAAAAGATCAGCTGAACCCAAACCAGGTTACTGGCAGCCTGGGCTGATTGCTGGTAGCTGAAAAGAAGCCAAAAGAAGCTGGCTCATGGTTGTGCAAACAAATACCAGTAACAATGAAACATTTTTTTTCTCTGCTATTCCCCCTGCCTAGGAGGAACATGGATTGGTTTGTTCCACAGACCCAAGTCTTGCAAGGATTAGTGCTAGCCTGTGTGTTAATTACCCCAAAATTCATAGAAGAATAAGCTGAAAGTGATATCTTCCCCACTGATCTCTTGTCATGTGTACAAGAACAGCTTCTTTCACTTGAGCTGTGACAACCACATATCCACAGCTGCTCTCCAGGCCCACATACACAGAATCACAGATTAGCTGGTGTTAGAAGGGAACTCTGGAGGGCATCTTGTCCAGCATCTCCTCTGAAGCAGGACTAATTAGAACCATTTGTCCCAGACCGTGTCCAGAAGGCTTTTGAATATCTCCAAGGAGGGAGAACCCACCACCTCCATGGGCAACCTCTTCCTGTCACCCACATAGTAAAGAAGTGTCTCCTGGTGTTCAGACAGAGCCTCCTGTGTTTTAGTTTGTGCCCACTGCCTCTTATTCTGTTGCTGAGCATCACTGGAAAGAGGCTGTTGCTCAAGTATTTATAAACATTGATGAGGTCTGTCCTAAGCCTTCTCTTTCAGGCTGAAGAGTCTCAGATCTCTCAGCCCCTCCTCATGGAGAGATGCTCTAGTCTTTTAAACATTTTAGTGGCCCGTCTCTTGACCTCTCCTTTACCTCCATAGGATTTAATGATCTTAAAGGTCTTTTCTAACCTAAGTGATTCTATGATTCTATGATCTCATACTAGGGGACCCATAAACTATAGATACTACCAGCAACAGCTTCTTTTCATTTTCAGTAACAGCAAAGAGCACCCAATTGTCTCAGTGAAATTCTGTTTCCCTTCACAAATGTGCTGGAAGAGGTAAGATTTGTAGAACTCTGTCTTTGAATTCATTCCATCAGTGTTGTTACAGTGCCTTCCTATTCCCTGGTGGAGCAGTGCACTCTCCAGCACTACAGAACGCCTTCAAAAAACAACCATGTAACCATCCACAAACCAAACAAAGCAAGCAAGCAAACAACAGAAAAAAAAAATACTTCTGAGAATATTCTCACTTTAAAAAATCGAAAAAGACTATTTAGCAGAAACTTCCTCAACTTTCTCATTCTAGGTCTTCCTTACACAACCTCCAGAATGAACAAAGAAAACATACTGTTTGTTTCCAAATAGGATATCATACCCTTTTGTATGAAACCATTTACAGAATTTATCAAAAGAGAAAAATATGTTCTTAGGTCCAATGCATCAGATGCTGCCAACACATCACCAGACTCAAAAATCAGACTAGTAGATGTGACAGAACCTCTATTTGTTCTTTGCAACTTCAGCCAAGACAGCACTGAGCTTTTTTTTTTTTTTTTTTTTTGAGCTGAAAGCATGAAAGCAGGACCCTGCAGATTTGATATATTCTCTGTGTTACATCTTCATATTTTCCCTAGCAATTCCACCATTCCACCAGGTTTGGGGGTGGTTATCTGGATGTCATGTTTTATATGTTTTTTTTTTGTTCTGTCCTGTTTTATTTTGCCTTTTTTTTTTTTTTTTTTTTTCCTAGAGGACAAAGTACTTACATGTCATTCTGATCTTTTTAAGGGGACACAAATTTTCCCTTTCAAAAGCTGATTCTTCTCTTGCCTTTCTGTTTAGAATTAATCCATTCCTGCCTCCTAGCAACCACTTACCATTACAACTACGGCCAAGACAGCAAGTAAACATCCGCTGTGTAAGTACCTAATGCAAGTGGAGTTAATGAACTGATTGTAAGCACTGCTCTCTCTAGGTAGTGCAGCCTGGAAATCTATCCACGTACTCTCTGTCAGCACTCTCAGGAAAGAGATCCTTAGATTAAGAGCAAACATAGAAAAATGCTGCTGACTGATAAATCCGTGCTACAGTAACTAAGGAAAAACATGCTTACCAAATGCAGATCTGATTCTGGACTTCCTACGGGCCTTACGAATGCCATACAGTGACTACCAAGGGGCCAAGAGCAATAGCACCTGCATTGATCCATTTAGCCAGAGCACCTACACTCAGTGCTTAGTCACTACAGGATCCTTCTACAGTCAGCTGAGAGAGGCATCTATAGACAGGCAGTTTAAATCTGAATCTGAACTGATTTCAGAGGGTACCCCTCTCTCTCTCCACTAACTACACAGGGAGTTAAGACAGCTAGACTTCTGACATGGGCACCTCAGCATCTGATGTTTGATGCTGACATCATGACGGTAGAGTGGATCTGAGTACCTCAGATAACCCCTGAGTTTCAGCCATGCCCCTATCTCTGTGTACAAATAGGCAAAAGACTTTTAACCAGGCTGGTGTCATCTGATGTTTTCCTGTATAATTTGAACCTAAACTCTCCTAAGCAGTTCAGAGACATGCCTTATGTCATATAACAACTTTAGTCAGTGCCTATGGTACTGATATGTGCACATTTACATTACAGAGTTTACCTCCTCCTGGAGAATATACACCTGGATAGAATGTATCTACTCTACTTTTTTTTAAAAAAAAAAAAAGAAAAAGAAAAAAAGAAGTAAATCATTCAGCATGCAACAACTGTGTGCTAGACCAGTACTTTACACTTTCTCTCCAAACATAAATTAAAGCAGAAATATTGGTTTAAGAGATTTCTGTCCCTTGCCCCATATTACGGGTAAGAGCTCTCTAAGTTGTGCTAAGAGTAATATCTGTGGGATCATTTTATAATCTGGATCAATAAACTAACTTAATTCTATAAAGAAGCTTCAAAAAATAAAGATCTCTTAGACTGAACACTGCATTTGAGAAATTGTTACCCTCTGCAGTACGTACTGGGGTTGTCTTATCGAGAAATCTGTTATAATCTTCAGTTGGATTCAGATCAGGTTTACCGATTGGCTTTTGGCAAGAAAACATGCCATGCACACAAAAAGCTTCATAAGCAACATATAATATGGTAAAATGTATGTGGAATACACTGGAGAGCTCATACAGGAAAGGAGGGATTCATCTCACTTCATGTTACACCTTGTGCAACATCTCTCTGCAGACCAAGAGGTTGCTTTATGCTCCTCTATATGCAATAGAGACGAAAAGGCTTTTAAAAATGTGATTCATTTCAGACGATAAGATCAATTGTGTTCTGCTAATGGTTCTCACCATCGACTCCAAGGAAGTGTGGAGTGACTAGCTCATCTGCAGGCTATCTGTATTGTAGATAGCTATGATAGCTATGAATTCCTGCTTTTCCTTGCACAGACATTATCAGTCACACTGTTACTTTTATGTGTGTGCACATGTATTTATATACATATATATGCACACATATAAAATGTAATAAAGTTCCAATCTAACATGCATGTCTGTATGCCCCCAGGTACAAGCTCATTCCCCTCTGATCATTCTCCCAAAGCAGTTTTCTCTTTATTTGTGCTACAAATCATCTGAGCTCTTCAAAGCTGAGAAGAAAGGCAATAAATCAGGCTTCCTTCTCTTGCCCTTGTCCTCCTTCATTCTGTCATATAGCAAATAAGCAGAAGATTCAACTACTGGCAGCAGCAATCTCTGTGCACGTAATAGTTGGGAGTGGTTAAGCACAAAACCAAAGAAGAACCAAGTGTTTGAATTACCATTAAAAAAATATATAAATAATAATAATAATAAAAAAGAAACAGCCAGTCCTTGGATCTCTGAGCTCCATAGACAGTTTAAACACATCTCCTCCTAAGCCCATTAAGATGATGCAAGAATGTACAAACTCCAAACTTCCAAGGTTCCCCTTTAACTAAGATAAAATTTTAAGTTAAAGAAGTTAGCTAATAACTACATAAAGAGTCAGAGGTTGTTTGCTGTGGACAGTACTCCCCTTGCACAAACTTTCATATCTCCTCCATCATACAGTACAAAGAACTAAGCATCCTTTCCTATCCCTTGTGAACTAATCCACTCACTGCAATTGCAAATATCCAAAGAGGTGAAGGTGTCAGGACTTCTCCACCCTTTATAACTGGAAGCATCTCTTGAATCTGGATTATTCAGTCTGAACGTTACTGTTCCTTCTCTCTCAGTTCTCAGGACACTACATGTGTTGGACCTGCAGAAATTAATGGCATGAGAAAAATTCCAATACAGTTTCATAAAGAGCAGCTAAGCATATTCACAGGTTGTCTAACATCTGGAGATTTCTGGGCCCTTTTAGCTACATGCTAAATGGATTCAGGAATGCAGAGGATAAAATAAAATCCCTACCTCCTTTCTGCTGCTCTTCTCTCTTTGGACTAAAACCAAGCACTGCAGCACACAACATATTGCTTGTCAAAGTGCTTTCCTGCCAAAACAATTTACAAACTCAAATTATGCATCACAACACCCTTGCAGGGTGGAAAGGATAATTAAAAAGCTGGCAACAAACCATTACTTGTTGGAGCAATCTCACGGAGGTCAAAGACTATGTATGGTCTGAGGAATTTTAAGTAACGGGTCGTGGGAGCACTGAAGCAGAGGACAGAATATCCATATATCACCAGTGTGCATCGATATGGAGGCTCCTCAATGCTTGCAGGCTCTGGGGCTCTCCTCAAGCTTCATTGTTTCATCCCTCAGTGAATGCCAAGCACTTTTGAGAAATCAGGCTCAAAAAGCCAGACTCTTACAGTATGTAAAGCAGCAAAATGGTGACTAGTAAGATCTCAAAAGCACCTAGATTCCCAGCTTATGTGTGAAGTCCCACAGACTCCAACCTGGCTCCTTAGATGCTTAAATACTTTTAAAAATAAGGCTCATCAAATACAAATCTCAGAGGCTGTGATCTTCATCCTCTGAACAAACACCCTCCCCTCTAGATCCCATTTCTAACCCCTTGTATTGTCTCCTATTGTCTCCCTGTAATGTCTGCAGACACTGCGGCACCATTTGGGCAATCTCTAGTGGTCTTCTTCTCTGCCAGTTCAGTGTTTATAATTTCAATTTCTTCCTGTTTTTAAAGTGGCTTATCTGGCACAATGTTATTACAATGTTATTATTTTCTGGCCCAATGAAAGTATGATTAAAGCAGATAATATAAACAGACTTTGGAAAAAGATGTCATTTAAATCCTTGCTGATTAGCTTCGTTCCTTTGTAAACTAACACTGAATTTGGTATGAGAGGTGGGCCTTGGTCAGTTTTAACATCTGGACCCAGAGTCACAGGCTAAATTCAAAGTAATTCCTATCTTTATAACAGAAAAAAACACTTACTTCTTTAACCCTAAACTTCCCAGGAATTATTGCATTCAGCCTCCAAGGAGAACTCTGAAGTAAAACTCCATCTCTGTATCAAACAAGAGTCCAGAGCCCTGCTGCTCTGCAGCTGACTTCACCCTCAGGGAGGACCCTGTGTGAACATTTCCTAAGGCTACAATAAGAGAAGGGCAGGCAGGAACTTCCCACTGATGAAGATGTGTAAAATGTCTGTTCTTCTACCACCACTACCTCACCTGAAACTCATCTCTCCTTCTGAGTGAGTTTGAAACAGAAGGAAACACTTAGAGCTCATGGAACACAACCCTCTTTGGGAACTATGGAGTTTATTCATCAGGAATCATTCTCAGCTGCCCTTCCTGGGAGGAGCTAGAGAGGACAACTCCTATAGGCTTTCTGTAATTGATTTGTGATGGCTCAGGCTCACAGAGCATAAAAGAAAGAGTCTTCTATTAGGCTTAAGTAACCCAGTCACTACTGCAAGGAAAAGCAAACAAAGAGCTTCCCTTAGCTCAGACACTGTGGTATTCCCAGCCTGTGAACACTGACTTACTTGATATTATGCACATATAGCCAAGTCCTGGCCTTCCCCACATTTGCCCTCTCATTAGCCACATCCTGGCTACCCCACAATGCACAAACCCAGCGTGGCCACCCAGGCCGCCTGTGGGAACTGCAGATGCAGGAGGGGGAATAGCAGCTGCGGGCAGCATGGAGGAGCATGCACTACAAATGGCCCAACACGCTGAACAAAAGATGCAGATGTGGAGAGGGCTGGAGTCCTCCAGGTCGAGGGAATTCTCTCCCTACCAACTTGGCTGGGATCCACATTCCTACATTTCTGGCCCTGCCACAGAACAAGGCAGTGTTGTATAGGAAAAGGACGAATACTTTGTTGTGGGTAATATACATCAGGACAGCCTGAACAGAAAGCCAAAGTTTTACAGTTCCTCTGCTGGCCAGGGACCTGAACGTATAAACACTTAACAGACAGCACCAGATTAAGTTATTCTATAGCATTCTTTGATACGACCCACTGACCTGCAAACAGTTTCTCTGGACTGAACTGAATTTGCTTGGATGAAACTACAGCCTTCTTAACTCTTTTTTTTTTTTTTTTCCTGACTTGATTTAGAAATGCCAAAACACTGAAGCATCCAGAACACTTTTCTGCTGAGGCTGCTAAATAGGTTTTACCTTGCAACTCAACCCTAAGAATTACAGCTCACACAAAATACGACAAGAAACTCACATTTCCACCAGCAGTTTATATACTATGAGAGCCTGTTATTTTCAGGTGCTGAAGCAGTAAAACAGATAAGAAATTAACATGCATAGTGTTCTGGTACATACAATATTTTAAGAACCATGTTCAGTGATTTAGCCACCCACACATTTTCCAAGGGAAACAGTTTGAGATTTGGGAATGGTGTTTTCATGCATTGATTTGGTGGCTCAGACACACAGACAAGGGAAAAAATATGAAGTCTGGGTGTGTTTCTTCATTGTCTTCTCTAAAAAAAGGCAAAAAGGCCTTTCCCTTTTCCATGTAAGCCACATCTTTGTTAGGGTATGTGTAACTTGCTACTACCACAGCATCTTACTGTGTAGGTCCTTCCCCGGCTAGGTACGAGCTGGGGAAGAGGAGATGGATACACCAGTATCAGGATGACACTTGTGATTACCATGTGGAGGCCAAGTGGGGCTCCCACAGACAGTTCCCAGGCATGCTCCTTGGAATCTGTCCTAATTGGTAATTTGGATTCAGCCAACCCGTTCTGGAGGGCAAAAGAGTTTAAGAGAATTGGCACAGTTATTTTGCGCCACTTAAACTCAGAACCAAAGTTCTTCTTTGTTTCCTAGCATAGGAATTTGGTATTATACATACAGTCTTAGAAGCCTGGCCTTGCCACGCTGAAGATGACAGGTAGAAATGGAATATTGAAAGGTTTGTCTTTTTTTTTTTTCCTTCCCCCATTCTCTCTGTCTCTCTCTCTCCCTGCAAAATCTGCCTATACATTCTTGCAGTGGCCTCAGATATGCAGAATTCTCTGTTATTAGGGTCCTGACCACAATAGGGGGTAAATTTAAGTCTGAGGAAAATAAAAAATAAAAAAAAGAGAGAACTGTTGATCATGGCAATTTTGAAAGAGTGTGAGTGACAAACAAGAATCAGAACGGAAGTTTCTGGGTGTGTGAGCAGTACAACTGCAGTTTCTGTTTAACAGCACATCCATCAGAGGCTCATTTACCATAAGCTGAGCCAGTAAAGTAGAAATCTCTATAATAATTATTTTATATTTTTTTTCTCATTAAGTGTGCAATACAGGACAACTCCAAACTTATTGTTTTCAAGCACATTCCTTTCAATTTTTCATTCTGAGGTGACCAGATTCCAGCTCCTGAAGAAACTTTATTTTCTGAAGCATGGTCTGAATCAAAGGCCATTCACAATCCTTTTCTTCATGGAAACATTTCTATTTCTGTTAAACTTGATAACAGCTTGTTTTTACAAAATAAGACACCGATGCCAAATTGGAGCTGGCAGTATCATTTAAAGAAGTGTCATTCTGGATATAAACAGGAAATGTTTAAAGTACTGATCCAGTGATTAATGAATGTTTCCACATCCACATAGCAGCCAGTTTTCCCTTTCCTTGGAGGTTACTTCATTGCATAATCTACAGAAGGGCCAGAATTTTGGCCCCTCATATTGAAGTATATGAAAAATAGCATTTCTGTGCAAATGCTGGCACGTTTTTTTCCTTTTTAAATCAATTCCATGTATCCACACTTCCTCCAATGGGAGTGGGAATCAAGACAAAGTCTGAAAGATATTTGCTCACACCTCTTTTTTTTTGGACCAAATCAGTTTTCTTCTGTAAGAATTCTCAGACTTCCCTAAGTTCATTCATAGACATCACTTCTTAATAGTCTGACTACAGCTGAGGGACAAATCCCTCACGTTACTCCTTCCTATTTTTTTTCCTGGCTGGGGGGGGGGGGGAAAGTGAGTTTGACTGAGTCATTCCAAACTGTATTGTATGGATCTAGCTAGACACCCACATTAATCTTTTTAGGCTGCCCATCATCTAAATACATGTTAAAAGAGAGTCTGACAACAGAGCCCTCTAATTGCCTGATCTAATTGTCTGACCAAAGAGTACCAATTTAGGATAACAATAGAACAGGGCAGAACTTGTTAGCTAGTACATGCTGTCCCCAGACCAGCAAACCAGTGAAAAAAAGAAAAATAGAGGAGTGTGTGTTTATGTCGTCTTTTCTATTCTTTTTGCAAGGTCATAGAAACCTCAGGCACTCAAGGGAGCACAAGACCATCAGGACAGCTGCTTAACTTGGCACTTTAAGTTTCAAGCCAAGTATATCAGCATTTGTTTGGTGGAATTTCTGAGAAGCAGAAAGTGCGCTGACCAAAGCCTCTCTAGGTAAACTGAAAAGAAAAGTCAGGTGGAAAAATATACTAGTGCTTTTCTAATGAGCTCATAGACAAGTTTGGACTTACCCTTGAGAGCCAGCCAGGTGTTCCCAAGCTTCTGCAAGGTGTCAAGATATCTTTGGTTTTGCTGGAAACAGCAGTAGTGAGAAGGACTCCACAGGAGACAGGATTAGAGTTCAGCATCTGATTTCCTTTTCTCTGTACTTTTTTTGGAGAGGTTTTTCTTCAGTTTCACCAAGCACAAGACTGCTTTGGTCCTGTTTGTGCCATATACTGGGCATGTGAACTCTCCAGTAGCTCTTTGTTTCATGAGGAGTGGAAATCTCTGTACAAACATTCACCTACAACATAAAGACCAACTGAGGTAATTACTTGGCAGAAAGACTCTCTTATGTAAGAGGAGTTGCCCCAACTTAAAATGTTTCTACCACTTAGCTTTCAGGAATGAAGGGTGTTTAAAGTTAATAACTCACTGTGTAATAGTTAACTTGCAGAAATGTGATTGTTCATATCTGAAATAGGTTGCCTTAGCACATTGGGAAGAAAAAATAAGGAAGAAAAAAAAAGGATGTGGCATACTTAAGCATCTTGTTTAGTAGACGGGGAAAAGCTGTATATAATATATATCTTTGTTCCAGAGAAATACATGCATTATATATATATTTTATATCTATTGTGCATACGTACCTAGGTAATACATTGCTTTCATTAAGGACACGACCGCAAGCTTGCTGAAATCCATAAAACTGCTATTGACCCAAATGTCTCTGGATAACTATTAGATCAAACACTTTAGAAGTTTAGAAGCCTCCAGAAAAGCCTGTAAAATTAAGGGCTTAATGAAGGCCTCAGGCTTAAGTAAAATTTAAGTGGGGCATAAGCACTCTGAAAGTCTGGCTCATTTCTTGAGACACATTGTCTTGAACCACTACTTCTCTTCTAATTTTAACCAAAAGACTACCTCACCTATTTGAAAAACAATCTAAGGCCCATGTTGTTCTTAATTGTGACATTGGCTTTCATTCAAAACCGAGTAAATAAACTCAACTCAGTGTTTATTGTATTTTTTTTTAATTATTATTATTTTTCTGCATTCTGCTTGCATGTGTGGGAATGTGTGTATTTACATTTCTTTATTTATTTTGTGATGACTTTGTGTTTCCACAGCTTTCAGACTCAAACTTGAATGTTTCCATTATAGTCACACACTATTCAGGGAGTAGGCAAACTTTTGCTCCCCTGTTCAAAGGTAATAGCTATGTTGTCATGTTTCTGTATCATAATTTATTTTCCAAGAACACAGTAGCTTTTTCAGCCACTTGCCAGTAGACTTCCTCCAGTTTCATATTCCTGTTCTGAACTGAGCAACTTGTACCATCCTGCAAACATAGTTCTTGGTATCACAGATGTAGGAATGACTACAGATGTTGGAATCTGACTGTAAGAACGTGGCTGCATTATTGTATATATGCACACACATAGCTATATTTTAGGAAAAAATAAGAATAAAATTTTATTCATATGTGGAAAATTTACAACCAAATCCCAACTTCTTGATATATTTAAGCATTTACATTTGAGTAACTTCCTTAATAATGCCAAATTTGGCTAAGGATGTGTATATAACAAATTGACCACTTGGTATGCATTTATTTGGGTACTTCCATAGGACCATAATTTGGTAGCTTGATTAAACTTGAAGCATAATCTCTTGTGGAAAGTGGAATGGCACAGACTATAATGGAATCAATTTCTTCTCTCTCTCTCTCTCTTTTAGAAACTCTCTGGAGTTTGTTTTGGATCTAATAAAACTTGAGAAGATCTCTATTCTTTCAGTCATTCTTAAAGACACTGCTAATCTGTATTTTGTTTTGCTCTGGTCTCTGGTTTAAGTATTTAACTTCCCTTTCTTGCAGGAGGTTTTGGAAATCTTTTACCATTAACAGATCTAACTTTTAACCTAAAGAAAGATGAAATTGCATCAAGATGAAACCTGTCTACATTCTTTAGGAGAAATTAATAAAATTTTAATTTCTGTGAGGATCTACGGTGGCTACTCGTCAATGCAGGAAGTTGTCATTCACATACAAATCTCTGCAGCAGATCTGTTAGCAAAGAACATACACCTCAGCAAACAAGTCCTCCCTGTGACTGTCTTTGGTAAACACATGCCTCAAGATATCTGTCTAGAGAGATCTTCATGATGACATACTAATCTGACACGTACATCCCGTGGTAAAAGGGGAGAGTTAGGATTTCAAGTCTGCACAACATAACCTCTGCTAAAGAGCTGAGCTAGCTCCATTGAGCTGATATATTAAGCCTAAGCAAAAACATTTCAGGAAAGAGACTTACTATTGTACTGTCTCCTAGAAGGGTTCTCAGTCTGAGAGTTAGGATGAATTGGTTTTAGCTCCAAAAGAACTACTAAGCACGTCTGTATGTACGTCCTTTGAGATCAGGTGCCAGTAGTAGCTTCCAGTTTGGATCTCAACCTGTGTTTAGCTTGAATATAAATAACTAACAGGAGCATCTTCTGGGGAGCTGAATTCAGATGTCACTTTGAATCTGATTTTGGTCATTTTGATCTATTCTCAGGGTAAATTTGTCACAGAGCACCAAAAATTCTACATACATAACCAAACATGTAAATATACCACAGTAAGTAAAGTCTACAGTACATTAGACAAAGAAGAAATTGATATCACATCTTCTTAAAGGGCCTTAAAAATATAATATAAATATTTTAAGCTTTGCTGTAAACTGAACAGAGTCACCTGGAAAAGCAACAGTGGCAACTGTGCTTTGGGGACATTTGTTAGGGTACAGCTGAGGGTGGCAGCTCCTTAAAGCATGGGGAGATTGGAGCTGAGCATAGCAACAAGGGTGGAAGGGGAGGGGCATCATCAGCCAGGGCCCAGATCCCACAGTGTTGAAGCAAGGTGACCATGGCAGACCAGAGGTGGTAGCAAAGCTCAACAAAGGGCTCGGATCATCAGGCAAGTTCTTGGTGATACAGCAAGTCTGAGGTCAAGCCAGGAAGTAAATCCACAGGTCATGATCTGGATCATATTTGGTGAGGGCAACCCAAGGCAAAACACAGTTCAGTGATGATGAATAACACAATCCATCATCTGCTTGAGTATGTATTTTATATATAGGATGTATATTATTTATAATATTTAAAATTTGTATATCATAATCACTTACATAATGGAACTATAATGTAATTTTAATGTAATAAAGGTATAATGTAATTTTTGTATAATAGAATTTTTGCTTAGCTTTTTTTTGTATAGCAGCTTTACTCACTGCTGCTCTCTCTGCTTTCTTTTCAGCTTCTGTTCACTCTCATACTGACATTATTGGAAGACAATTCATTTTCAGCAGCAAAAGAAAACATTTCTTTCTCCATGCCCTTATAACATTGTTCTTAGACCATACCATTGTTTTCAGTGCATTAAGCTGATCTGATGTATTATTGCTCATGCTTGATCAGTCATAGGTCATGCACGAAGGCTCTTCAATCAGCAAATATTTGGATGGATGCTCAAGTCAAAAGCTGTCTCAGAAATAGAGATGTTACAACTGGTCACAGATAATGCATGTTCTAGTTTTACTGCATGCTCTGAGGAAGGCAGATATGAAAGTATTCAGTTACAGCCCTTACAATGGAGCGGATTCTCTTTGGAAGAAGCACAAGAAGTAACACTGCATCATAGACAAGCTGAAGAAAATAAGAGCTCAAATGAAAAAAATGCAATGAAAGACCATTTTCCCTTTCTCTGAATTTCAAAGATTTTGAGAGCATGATTTTGTTTACATATTACTTTGTAAATGTCGGTATTGTGGAGGAGTGGCTGGTACCCTGAGGGCTGATGCTCCTGATGTTCTTTAAACAACTGTTGATTTCTCATGCATGTTCCCACTTCCTTGGGCCAATCTTCTCATGCCCAGGCTCTCTTTCACCTTTCCAGGTGGTAAATTGTTCCCCAGTTTCTTGTATCCTCCTCAATGGTCTCTACCTCAAAGGGTATTCCCCATGCTCAGGTGTCCAGCTGCACATCAAGGACATCCGTGGCTCCCAGGCAGTTCCCAGGCCAAAGGCCGAGCTCCTAGCCTGGACCCCAGCCTGGCAGACGTTGCTCCTGTCAGTGTGGAGCAGCCATCTCACGTCAGCATTTTCACACAACAGTCACATTAAATCCCTAAGTGCTGCCACCAGGGGCACCCCAAGAGCCTTTTGATGTTACTAGAGTCACTGTCACCCTATGGCTTCACAAAAGGCAGCTGGCCATAAGTGCCCTGAGCATCCAGCCTGTGTCCAGACCAGTTGGTGGCACTCGAGAGCTCGAGATCCTAGTGCTGGAAAGTGAGATCTGGAGGTGTTGCTGGTGGAACGCGTGACATCGCGGTCATTTCGGTGGCACATGAGATGTCATGGTCCTTCCTGTGACATGAGAGTCATGAGGTCTCCTTCTGGATGGCAGGTGAGGCAGCCCAGTCCTTCTGGTGGAACTTGAGATGTCAAAGTCCTTCTGGTGGCATACCTGCTTGTCATCAGAGCAGGGTCCCGCAGAGCACAAGCATCTCTAGTGCACCCTCAGCAAGTTTGCAGATGACACAAAGCTCGGAGGAGTGGCTGATACCCCAGAGAGCTGTGCTGCCATTCAGAGGGACCTCGTCAGGCTGGAGTGTAGGACTGAAAGAAACCTCACAAAATTCAACAAGGGCAAGTTCAGGGTCCTGTACCTCAGTAGGAATAACCCCAAGCACCAGTACAGGCTGGGGGCTGACCTGCTGGACAGCAGCACTGCAGAGAGAGACCTGGGAGTCCTGGTGGATAGCAGGCTGACCATGAGCCAGCAGTGTGCCCTTGTGGTCAAGAAGGCCAATGGTATACGCGGCTACATTCAGAAGAGTGTTGCCAGCAGCTCAAGGGAGGTGATCCTCCCCCTCTACTCAGCCCTGGTGAGGCCATACCTGGAATACTGTGTCCAGTTCTGGGCTCCCCAGTACAAGAAAGACATAGAACTACTGGAACAAGTCCAGAGGAGGGCTGCAAAGATGATGAGAGGACTGGAGCACCAGTCGTATGAGGACAGGCTGAGAGGGCTGGGCCTGCTTAGCCTGGAAAAGAGAAGACTGAGGGGAGACCTCGTTAATGTGTATAAATGTGTAGAGCTTAGGCATATGGTTTAGTGGGGACTGTTAGTGTTAGGTTAGAGGTTGGACTTGATGATCTTGAGGTCTCTTCCAACCTAGAAATTCTGTGATTCTGTGAAATATCTGAAGGGAGGGTGTTGAGAGGATGGAGCTGGTCTCTTTTCAGTTGTGCCCAGCGACAAGATGAGAGGCAATGGGCACAACTGAAGCACAGGGTGCTCTGGCTGAATATG